CTCTTAACTGTGGAGACCACATGGCCTGTCTATGAGAATTATCTGGAGAGCAGGAAAAACAGCCAACATCCTGGCCCTTTCCACAGCGATTAATTCGGAATCCCTAGCGATGGAGGGAAACGGCATCACTATCGTTTTGAACTCATGTTTGTGCCTCCAGTGTAGAAGAGCGAGTATCCCCGAGCCGCTGTACTGGGAGTGCCAGCTCTTGTGGGGGCTGATAATGACCCGCACAAGTTAGACCTGCAGCCTGGGCTGGCTGGCTGTGTCACCCAGGTGTACTCGGGAATATTCACTTGTTTGTGGTCAGCTTCCATCTGTGCAGGTGGTCAACCGATGGCTAACCTCCCTGTCGCCTGGAGACGTCACCTGGAGCGGCCTTGACAGGGCCGCTGGGAGAGGCCTCCTGTTGGCTCCTGGGAATCAGTGGCTTCAGGTGTGTGTGGCAAAGCAGTTCGCTTAGGCAGCGCGTTGGCACGGAGCTTCTCAGTGAGTGGTAAAGTCTGCGAGCCTGGCTCGCTGGTGTATTTTTGCGTATGGTGTGCTGACTTGATACATGCGTGCATTATAGAATGAGCACAGCAGGACAGTTAGCAGCCCAGCACCTCCTACATTTAGCATTTTCCTTTACCAGAGCCCCACTCGTTTCTGCTGCAGGTGGTCTAAAAGCCACACTTGGAACCTTGTTTGCGCCACTGCTTGTCTCCTGCAAGCGCAGGTTTTAGAGCAATTTGAGCTGTGAGCAAGAGAAGCTGCAGGGCGCTGCCGGTGTCCTGATCGGCCCAAGCTTTAGAGGGTCTGCCTATCTGGTGCAGTGAGTCTGCCCACTCCTTCTTCGAAAAGGTCTTGACCTCCCGGCTCTTCTCTCTATGAGTTTTAGGATCAGGTCACCAAGTTCTCGGAGAAATCTGACTAGAATTTCGGTTAGAATTGCACTCCTTCTTCGAAAAGGTCTTGACCTCCCGGCTCTTCTCTCTATGAGTTTTAGGATCAGGTCACCAAGTTCTCGGAGAAATCTGACTAGAATTTCGGTTAGAATTGCACTGACTTCACAGACTAATTTGGGAGAGGCCTTTGAGACCCAGGGTATTACAAGTATCTCCCCTAAGCATAAAACACCGATACAAACAGCCTGTGCTCGGGGAGCTGGGACAGGAGCCTCCCTGACAGAACCACCTTCTTCACTTTGTGGACCCAGGCAGGGCAGAGTGATCTACTCAAGGCTGCTGGTCATCACTAAGCTGCACCAGAATCTTCCGTCCAGGCTTTATTGACTCCTCCTGCCCTTTCCTTCGGGCCTGCGTCCCCGGCCTCGAGAGCCGGCAAGCCCTAAGCCGGCGCTCTCCACTTTCACTCCTGCATGGGTGCCTTTCCGGTTAGAAACAGGAGCTCTCCCCCGCTGGTTCTGAGTTGGGGTCTTTTGGTGCCTTTGAGGGAGGCCACTATATTCAGCCTCTGCCGCACTGAAATGGAAATGACTTCATGCTTTGCAAAGTGGGAGGACAAGCGACCTCAAGGAGTTTGTGCCAGTGAATGCCCCAGCTATACTTGGGCATCACAAGAGCACATCAGGTGGTGACTACTCCTGAGAATGCGCTCATTGTTCTCTGAGCTTGTCCTCCGGAACCGCTTCAAATTGTTTCCTACCATGTGCAGGGCCCGGGGGCAGCCGTGTTCCGTGGCTGCTGTCACTGGCATTCCTCCCCGAGCTCAGTTGCCATCACCTCTAACCATCCCTGGAGGTCTTGTGCTTTGTTCTTGGATTAAGCCGGGCCAGCTGTCACTCACTCGAGCCAGCTTCCACACGTGGCCCGGGCCACTCTTTCCCCAGCAGAGGGGAAAACTTGATGTGTTTCCAGCATATCCCTGGGCCAAGTTTGTGCAAAGCAGTGTGCAGAAAATGTGAAAATGAAAGAACAGTTGCTCCCACGGAGGCAAGACTGCGGCACATAATTCTTGCTGGGTGCATTTCCGTGTCTGGGAAGAGAAAGCTCCCAGGCGGAGTATTGCCGTTCTTCCCCACGGCAGCTTTCTCTAAAGGCACCCCTGGCTGGTGACTTCCCAGGCCCCAGGCAGGAAGTGAGGGATGGCTTCAGCTCAGAGCCAGTGCCTGGCTCTGCCACGGCTCCTGGTGCTCCTCTTGTGACCTCGTGTTTGGGTCCCACTTGGCCTCCTTCTGAGTTTGTCAGGCTGGCCTTGCGGTGTTGATCCTCCTGGCACTGATGACAGCGTGGGTGACAGGTTTGGACTATGTTGTCCGCACTCTTAGCACCTTTCTGTCACAAGGGCGCCTTCCTGGTCGCCACACTGCAGTGCGAAAACTGCCCGTGTCCGTCCCCACTGTCTCCCTGGCCCCTGGCAGGGATGGTGCGGGCTGTGTGCAGGTGTCTCTTGCCATACGCCTTAGCCTGAGGAGCTGTGGCTCGGGCCTTCCTGGCCACCAGCTGGAGGGCTGCGGAGGACGTTTTAGTTGGACAAGGCTCTGCCCATCACCTACAGAGTAACAAGGGTGGTGCCAGAGTGCCGGTTGTTCCTCAGTGACACCTCGGATGACGAGTCCTGACAGAGGGGGAGGCACACAGAGGCTGGTCCGGGGAAGAGGACGCCGCTGGGTCAGCCGACATCACCACAGAGGAGAGGTCCGGGGGTCTCACGTGATCTGGAGTCCCCGCGTCGGTGCTGCAAACCTGTCCTGCTGTGGGCCGGCCTCCCCCACGGCGCTCATCACGCCCTGCGCAGCTCACCCTCCTTGGAGGGCTGCAGGGGTCCACCCTGACCTCCTGGGCTCCGCACACCTCACATTCCTCACCAGCTTTCCGCCCCACGGCTATGTGCGTGAACACATGCTCACACCTGTGCGCACGCTCCTGTGATCACACCTCCACACACGCGCACGCACCTGCTGCCGTTCACACGCACGGCACCCTGCGCATGTGTCCACGCTTGCATCCGTCCCGCTGCGGCGACCTCTTAGCGGTTTCCGGCCCGTGGCCGTCTGTGCCGCCCGCAGTCTGCCCGCTTGCTGCTGCCTTGGCCGCTCCCTCCGCCCTCTTCTTTGCCCTTGGCAGTCCCTTGCCCTTCACCTCATCTCTCTGTCTCCGAGCTGTTTCCTCAGGCGCTCGCAGGGGAGGGCCACTGGCCTGCCGCTGGCCTGTGTGCCCCCGGAGCGCAGGGCGGGAATCCTCGCCACAAGCCAAACGCAGAGGCGCCTGGCGGCTTCACACGTGCTCAGCGGCCTTCATAAGCCTGTGCGTCTCCCAGCGCTGAGGGCACTGGGGAACCAACCGCAGGCCATCGGTGCGCCTGAAAGTTAGTGCTGCCTTCATAGCTTCAGTATTTGCCGATTTCAGATTTCTGTGATTATCCCAGGGCGGGCGGGGGGAGGCTTAACCCTGGGAAAGTTTTTTTCTCTTTAGTGTTTGTCTGGTGTTTCACTCTTTGAGGCAGCAAAAATTGTTGTGAAATTGAGTCAAGGGAACTCATCTGTGCTACCTGGCACCCAGATGTTCTGAAATGTCAGAATCAGTAAATCAGCAAACTGATCAAGATCAAGAAGTGAATGTTGATGTTTAATCCAGAGACCTTATTCAGAGGGCTGCACCAGTGCCCCTTCTCTGCTCCAGGACCCAGCCCAGCTCACGTGCTGACTGTCACTTAGTTTAGGTGTGATAGATTTTTTTTGTACCAGGAATGGAACTCAGGACCTTGCACTTGCCAGGCAGGCACTGCATTGCCGAGCTGTATCCCCAGCCCATGGATGTAACAGACTTTGAAAGCAAGCATGTAGTTGATCATTGAGACCCAAGGCTTGGGCACGTGGCTCAGTGTGACCTCATGCATCAGGGCAGCCGGCGTAATCCAGGCCGGTGATGCCCTGGCGTTCATGTCCCTCCCCTCAGGCCTGGTGCTGCCCTTGTTTTCCTTTTGGAAAATGCCCGCATTGAGTTTCCCACATTTGTTCCCTTGGCCATAGTCTCATAGTGCCACCATGTTCTTCCCCAAAGTTCACACGGTGGAAACTTAACCCCCAATTCATGTGTCAGTGGTGTGTGGAGGTAGAGCTTCTGGTAGGGGAGTAGGAGTATGTGAGGCCATGAGGGTGGACCCCCATAGCCCTCCATGAGTGGCTTTATAATACCAAGAGGAAGAGAGACTGGAGCTAGCACACTGGCTCTGCCTCACCAGGCGATGCCACCTGCCGTGTAACGCGCACCTGAGCCTCTCCAGGTGCTCAGAGAGGCCAGCACCACGATCAGGGGCATCCGGGCCCCCAGGACCATGAGCTAAATAAACCGCTGATCTTTCTAAATTCCCAGCCCCAGGCATTTCATTAAGGAGACCGCAAATGGACCTCCATCCCTGTATGTCTGGTAAACTGTTTCAATCTGATTCAAGTTCAGTTTCTGACCAGCTCCGTCTCCAGCTTCTTGACCTGGAGATGCCAGTCTCCACACTTAGGTTTTTTCTCCTAGAGCTGGTGTCCTTTTCCCCGCTGTCCTCCCTCTACACGCTTCCCTGGACTATCGAACTGAACCACCAGCCACAATCCAAAACTTTACCTCCAGCCAAGATCTCCCTCTCAGGCCCCAGGAACTCTGCCCACCTGCACTGGGTGTTATGCTTTGGATGCGGTTCACCTCAGAACCTCAGGTGTTTGGAGGGTGGTGGACCATGGGGACACGTACTGGGGGGTGGTTAGTCCGTGGCCCATAGCTGACCTGCGGTGGGAGGGGCAGCCTAGTTGGAGGGGGTCACTGGCTGACCTGGGAGGGGGCGTCTCCCTCCCTGGCTCCTCCCTTCCCTCTGTCCACTTCCTGGCTGCCGTGACATGAGCGGCTTTCCTCCATCCAGGCCCTTCCACCATTGCCTTGGAGCTGGCAGACCAAGGACTACACCCTCTAAAAACTGGGGGCCAAAATGAAGCTGTCCCCCTTTAAATTAAGGTGTTGTGTGTTACATCTCAGCAATGAAGAAATGACTAAGTAACGGATTTGGGTACTGACGGGGGGGTGGGGGTTGTTGCCATGACTATATATGACCCTGGGGCTCAGAAGCCTTGGAATTTGATTGTGGGAGGAGTTTAGAGAAGTTCTGGAATATTGTGAGCAGGGATTGATGTATGATGCTGGTCAGAGCTCAGAAGACCGGGACGCTCACAGAAATGAAGGACAATGAAGACCAGGTGCAAAAGGTTTCACTGGGAACAAGGATTCCATTGGCAGCTTGACCCAAGACCATGTGTGTTATGCTTTGGTAGAAAATGTATCTACATTGTGCCCATGCCCTGAGATTTTATAGGAGATAGAAGATTAGACAGTGGACTAAAGCCGGGCATGGTGGCACACACCTGTAATCCCAGCACTCAGGATGCTGAGGCAGGAGGATTGCCATGAGTTCAGGGCCAGCCTGGACTACATAGTGAGTTCAAGGCCAACCTGAGCTACAAAGCAAGACCCTGTCTCAAAAAATAAAAGAAAATATTAAAAAATTTTTAAAAGGACAGTGGACTAATCAATCTGGCAGAGGAAATGCCAAGGCAGCCCAATGTTCAGTCTTTGGCATTGGCATTACAGGTAGCTTTTAGCTATATCTACTGTAAGAATCAGGACCAATAAGCACAGCTGAATAATTAGAAAATTTTGCTGGTGACTAGAAAGTAAGCATCTATAAAGTTAGGGCCTGTAAAATTGCCAGAGGAGAGCTTCATTGCTGAAAAGATTAGCATTAAAAAGAAGCCAAGGACTTTGCTTCAGGATAACAGGACAGATGGCTTGAACACTTCTTAGGAATCAGCAAGATACCACCCTTTGCAAGCTCAGAGGCAAAAAACTATAAAGCTTTGTTTTGAGCAAGACTCACGGGGCCCCTTGCTGCAGAAGGTCTACCTACCAAGTTGGTGTTCAACCATCCAGACATTCAGAGGCTGCTGCAGCCATGATCCATGGAGGCCTACTAATGCTCAAGCTAGTGGCAGATCTTAGTGCGGCAGATCCCATAGTGCTGGTTATTTAGGCATGTACAATGCCGGAGTTTTGCGGTCAGGGAGGCTTCCACCCAGATTTTAGAAGAAGGACTGGGAGGCCAGGCAGTGTGTCCCTGAGAGCCAAGTGAGTGCAGCTGTGAGTATGAAGCTGAAAGTGTGGTGGAGATCCCAGGACAGTGGACAAGACAAGAACACAGAACATTTGCTGAGGACAGGTGCAGGCCGTGATGGAGCCACCCTGAGAGGGGCCATGAAGACTGCAGCTGGCAGTGCCACAGCGATGGGTCCACTCAAGCTCTTTGGAGTTTATATCTTGCCACAACCTGTCTAGGGCAGTGGACATGGAGCTACAGGATTTAATGTTTGTCTTGTTGGGTTTTGGTTTTGCTTTGGTCCCATTCCTTTCTATCCTCCTCTTTCTCCTTTTTGGAATAGAAATGTTTGCACCATTCTATGTTGGCAATGTTTAACTTTCTTTTGGATTTTCTTTTTTTTTTTTTTAACAGAGTGTCCCAGCTAAGAGTTTGCCTTGAATTTCAGAGGACACTTTGACTTGGACTTTCCAACAGTGCTGAAGCTTTTAAAACTTCGGCAAGTCTTACAGATGGACTAAATGCATTTTACATAAAGAGATGGACATGAGTCTTTGGGGTCAGGGGTGGGTGTTTGGTTTAGATCTGGTGTGCCTCAAAAGCCTCAGGTGCTTGAAGGGTGGTTGGAGCATGGGGCGCCATAGTCCTCAATGGATTACTGGACCTGTGAGTTCGTAGCTGACCCGCTGCTGGAGGCGGGTCACCGTGGGCATGACCTGGAAGGGTATGTGTCCTTTCTGGCTCCTCCCCTCTCTCTGCTTTCTGGCAACAGTGATGTGAGCGGCTTTGCTCTGGCCAGGCCCTTCCACCGTGCCCATCCTGCCTCGGAGCCAGCTGGCTGTAGACTGACTGCTCTAAGAACTGACCAAAACAAACCTCTCCCTCTTTAAGTTGTGGATGTGGGGTACGGCATCTCAGCGACAAGGAAAGTGGCTAAGACATCAGAGCTTCCCCCGAGTTCCACCTGATGGGGTCACTTCTCTCTCTAACACCATCCCGTTCCCGGCAGGGTCAGATCCGAATTCCTGACTGAGGATGGCCGTTCCCGACATGGGCTCAGCGCTCCTCCTCTCTGCCATCTTCCAGCCGCGCTGTGCTCCTCAGCGGGCGGTTTGACCTCCAGCCCTCAGGCCCTTTCTCCCTTCCTCCTCGGGTTAAACCCAGACAGGAACCACCTGTGCCGGGAATCCTCTCCTGGAGCTCAGGCTCTGTTTGTATGTGTCTCCCCTGAAATCATGATTCCTTGAACAACAGATAAGTGTTCTGTGTCTGCACTGCCTGAAACAGCCCTCAGATACTACTCGGATGAACGTTGAAAGCAACTGCAGATACTATAAATTCCAACTATGTAGGATTTTCTTTTCCTTTGGATCTTACGTTAGGATATTGAATGAACCTCAGGGTGCAAGGACAGGAGGCTCACACAGCCCGCCTCACCCTCCCTGCTCCTGGCCCCTGAGCTCCTCCTCTGCAGGCCGACTGGGATGGGCCCTGAAGGCAGAGGAGAAATGACCACAGGACCAGGGCAGACACAATGAAGGTGAAGTTCTCTCCAGAGGCAACACGAGAATGTGGGGAAAGAAACTGTGTTTTTCTGAAGAAATTTGAAACCCCTTAGGACAGTGACTTTAACTGGATCTTGAAACAGAATGGAAGGGCTGGGGATTTAGCTCAGCGGCACAGCGCCTGCCTGGCAAGAGCAAGGTCTTGAGTTCGATTCCTGGTACAGGGGAGGAAAAAAAAAAAAGAAAAAGAATGAGACTCCACCAAATTGATACCGACTTTGGGAAGAAAGGACCTTGAGCAGAGCTCCGTGCGGGCCTGTGAGGAGCGTTCCTGTGGGCTGCCCAGAGCCTAGGATACCAAGGGGACAGGAAGGGGGCAATGGAGAGGGGTGGGGGTGAGGGCCCATCTACAGGCCCGTGAAGGCCAAGCGAGGGTTTGGGTTTTATGAGGGCTGCACCTTGGTGCATCCCAGTCGGCAGGTAGGCAGGAAGGAACAGCAAAGGGGACCGGGAGATGAGTCTGGACGAGGCTATGCCTGGCTTGTTCCGGAGCTCTGCTGGAAGAACTGAGGGAACAGTAGCAACGAGAAACTTAAAAAAATATTTTTCACCTACTTGTGTGCATGCTAGAGGGAAGCGTAAGTGGACAAACCCTGTATTTTTTTCAGAGGTAGTTTGCTTTTTGCCATCTTCCTGCCCCAGATCATAGAGTATATTTTTCCATAGAGCTTTCTTGAAATTCCTATAGCTCCATTTCCACATTTCCAAATTCTAACCATGTGAGCAGGAAATATCATGTTCTTCAAATTTGGCTTTATCTGGAGAAGTAAGAAAACTTTATCTGGAGAAGTAAGGACTGTCTCCATCTTGTAGAACTGTACAAATCTATTACTAAAATTCTCCTCCGCAGCTGGTACAATGCTATAAAATTCCCTGTAGATTTCCTGATGGGTTGTCTGCAAATGTTGTGGAATTTCCTAAATGCATTTTTAGATTAGGAAAATATTTCCACTGTCCACATTCAAGGTTTCTTCCCAAAACCTATACTTTTCTCTCACATGTTTTGGTATCACAAAACATCCTATCTGCTGTTTTCCCTAACACCTTGTAGTTTTTTGTTCAGTACATTAAAGCGTAGTATAAAATCTATAAGAAAAACATGAGGTTGTTAGGCCAGGCCACCTAAGTGAGCTGTAGGTAGTTCTGCCTTGTTCCTTCATAAGCAGCTGTGGTGGATGGACAACTGGTGGTCAGCTTGTAGCACCCAGCTGAACTGAATCAGCGTGGTGCTGGTGTGGAGGGCCCACCTGAGGACTGTTGCCAACAGCATAAAAAGCAGAACTGGAGAAGAAGCAAAGGTGTTGTTAGGGAGCTGTTGGTTCTCCTAAAACTGTTGGTTCTCCTGGGGCTGTTGGTTCTCCTGGAGGAGCTTGTCATGCTGGCTTTCCTGATATGAACTGGGCTGTTCTCATCATTGGAGGAGCATGAGGCCTTGTTGTCACTGAGAATGGCTACGGTTCACTTTAGGGGAGCTTGCTCTGAGCACCACTTCCTGGCTCCAGTGCAGATCCCTCAGCCTCCTGGCACAGATCCTTCATCCCGCTGGCACAGACTTTTTAGCTTCCACTGCTGACCTTTGGGCCTTCCCAGTGCAGATCCGTGAAATGGACTTGCATGAGACATTGTCGTGGGTTCTTGGCCTCCAGTTGGACTTGTGGGGGGCACTGTTATGAGCTCTAGGTCTTCAGCTGGTCTCATGCAGGACATTGCCGTGGGACCCAGGCCCTCTGCTGGATTCTTTGGTCTTTAGTGTGTACTTGACTCTTTGGGTGACTACTATAAAATAATCCTATAAATTATGTGTCCTGTATGAAATTGTTTTCTTTGTAAACTCTGACTACACCAGCAGCCTAATTTCATCCAAACAGGCTGCAGATCTCTCCAGGACTCACCCTCTGCTCAGCCACTGAACGTTATTGTACATAAGGAAAATTATACAGTGCCCGAGCCTCACACACCCGTGATCCCAATGTCACACACTCTCGATCCGGCCGCCTCTGAAAAAGCATGAGCGTGTGGTGCTGGGGTCAAGGGTGTGTGATGACTGAACCAGTCCCGACCGGTCTGGCATAGTTCTGGGAGGTTAAGGGTGTGAGCGCTACACCCACCTAGGGTGGGTAGTCTGTGTAGAATATAAGGGACAGAGAGAGGGCTACCATTGTTGCCTGCCTGCCTGCTGTGGGCTGCTTGTCCCCTGCAGTGGCCCTCTGCCACGCACCACTCTGCTTTGGAGCCAGCCAACTGTGGGCTGAAACCTCTACAAACCATGAGCTACGTAAAGCTTTCCTCCTTTAACTTTAGGTGTTGGGTATTTTGTCTCAGCAACGACAAAAAGTAACTAAGACAGCAGCTGAGCCCCATTACTAGGTGATGGGTGTGTTGCCGCGTGGCCTTCCACACAGGTGGCCCGCAGGTGTCTACTTGTGGCCGTGCATCGGCAACCAGGTGGCCGGGCTCGCGCTGCCGCACCGACAGCCCCTTGGCCTGTCCTGTCCTGGGTGCCCACCCTGGGACTGCCGCGCCCGGCAGGCGGAGGGGCTCTCTCTCCTGTGTGCGGGCTGCCTGGACTTTGTCTACTTCATTTGCGCAGATTCGGGGTGGTGTATAGACTCCATCAAGAAGAGCTGTAAATGCTGTCTTCAGCATTTCTTTTTCTTTTCTTTTTTCATTCTTTTTGTCTTTTTGAGACAGGGCCTCGCTGTGCAGTTCAGGCTGGCCTTGAGCTCACTTCGTAGCCCAGGCTGGCCTCAAACTGACAAAGATCCTCCTGCCTCAGCCTCCCCAGTGCTGGCATTACAGGCATGTGCCATCACGCCCGTTTGTCTTCAGCGTTTCAAATACAATAGGGTGCAGTTTCGCTGGTATCTTTGAGGTCAGGGCATCAAACGGACGCTACCCCTCCGTTTGATGGCCCTGCCCCCCTCCCCAGCCTGGTGACCCCAAAATGCTTTGCTCCAGCTCCACGTGCGGGGCCTCCGAAGCAAACCCTGGCCGGGGCGTCCTCCTCGGCCCGGAAGCGCCCGCGCTCACCCCGCTCTCTCCCGCAGGATCTCCTACGACCCCGCGCGCTTCCCGCGGTACCTGCCCGAGGCCTACTGCCTGTGCCGCGGCTGCCTGACCGGGCCCGGGGGCGCCGAGGACCTCCGCTTCCGCAGCGCGCCGGTGTTCTCGCCCGCCGTGGTCC